CCAGGCCACCTTCCCATCTTGCCTCTATGTAACTGTGTATACATTTGTCTGTCAGCAACAACTTTCCAAGGTCAATATTTTTTTCATTCACTTTTACAGATGAGGGACACTGAGGCTCAGAGAGGTTGAGTAACTAATCTGCTTAGAGTCACACAGAGTGATAGAAGTGTGACTTGGGTTCGTTTGGCCAAAAGTCTGTGGATGTTCCACTATTCTACTTAAGTGTTCTTAAATCTTGTAACTTTAGCTCAGTGCCTGGTGGGCTTTGGGAACCCACAATTGGGATATATTCACAACGTGAATTGAAGCTCAGCCCTGGGGCCGGCTCTGGAGGGACATGCAGCCTTGATTAGTTATCATTATCTATCATTGCCCAAAGTCAACCTTCCAGATAGGACTATCATTAACATTGGAGAAGAGGTTGCTATTTCTTGCCCTTCCTTTGTTTTTCTATCACTTTGCTGCAAGGCAGAGAGAGAGAAAGAGACAAAGAATTGAGGAGAACCAACTCCAATTCTCTCCCCTTCAAGAGGTGTGTGTTCCTGCTCTTCCTATGAATCATGCAAAGCCCCTGGGGGGGTGGTGGTGGTGAAGAATGGGTTAAAGGTCTTTCCCCTGTCATGGTGACATCACTTGGAAAAATGTCCAGCAAGACTCCATGATCCTCTTGACTTCCTTTCTGGCTCTCCTCAGGGGGGCCCTGTCCTTTGTCCATGGGCTTCACCATTAACTGTCTCTATACACAGTGAGAGTCTCTGAACATCAGAGGTGACATGACCATGTAAGGACAAAGTACAACTGTTGTGCCTTGTGTCACTACTTCCTTTGTCTGGGTCACTGCTGGCTCCTGGCCGCCTGTCATGGTCTCCATCCCCATCCTGCCCCTTGCTCCCCTCCCCCTCATGTGGAACACCTTGCCTTTCTAGGCAGCCAAACCTTTTCCCCTTCCTCCTTCTCAACTGCCTCCAGAGCCACCCACCATGGCCACCCAACTCCGAGATGGGGCCCACTAAGTTACCCCTGAAGAAGGACTCAGAAAGACTTGGTTGGGCTCTTGACTATTCTGCTCCACCTACCCATAGGCTGCTCAGTGACCTTGGACATCTCTGTCTCCTTTCCGGGTCTTTTGGGGGCTTTTTTGAGGGGGACAGTCTTCTTGGACAGTCCTTGCCCTGCTGTGACCTGTGAGGGAGGATAAAGAGCATTTTGGTTTGAGGAGTTTAAACATTAAGAAGAGAGGGTGATGCTGAGATACAATGTGGTCTTCCACCCCCAATATCCATAAGCACTTTATTACAGATCTGGGGAGGACAGTGGCTCGGCCTCAAAGACTGCCTCCAACACAATATGGTCTTATGATTATTGTTTTATGTTCCTTGTTCTCTTTTATGAAGATTCAGGTGAGTAGGGCTTTGAATTCAGTAACAATGTGGGCCTTGCCAGAGTGTAAGATAGTATGTCATTGTGAAGGCTGGTGACACCATACTGGGGGATGGGATTGGGAATCAACCTTTGCTCTGAGTCACCACCAGGTTGTGTCCCCACGCTGTCTGAAGACTGGAGGTGGAAGGCCCATTGCCATTAGTGACGTGTGCTCAAAAATTTTTCAGTCCATGATCTGGATTCTGGGAAGCTTGCTCCCTCCCTCCCCTGATCCCTGGGGCAGGGCCAACAGAGGCGCTTTCAAATAGGTTATTGTGACAAACCTTGCTGATTGAAACCATCAGTAGAGTAGAGCCCCAGGGCTGTGAAGTGACAATTCAGGGCTGCCATTTTTTTTTTTTTCCTTTCCCTTCCTTGATAGAATTCCTTTCCCTTCCTGCCAACTTCAAGGTCCTTCAACTTGATGAGGAGCCTTGTTGTATCTCTAGGGGCTGAGAGGCAGAAATGAGAAGATGGGAAGGGATATAGGGGAGGGAGCCATCACCAGGCCTTGGTGACTGAAGCCTCTGTCCTGGACTAGATCCCTGCCAAGGTGCTCACACCTTGTGCACAGGGATGCCAGAAGCAGACTTAACTGGAAAAGAAAGAAGTTTAGTGGCTACCTGTCCATCTCCATTCATCAGCTTGACGGATGGAGTTCTGACTGAGTAAGGAGGCCTGCCTGGGAGCGGACTCTGAGCTGGGAAGTACACACTTTCTGGCTGTAAAAAGATCTTGTTTCTAGCTGCTGGGGGCCTGCCAGCCAGTGAGGGGGGGATTAGAGTCATAGACGATGGAAAAGGATTCATCACAGAGGAGAATTTAGAATAGTACTCCCATAGAATCGGGGTACCTTATGCTGAGTAACTTCCTTGGGTCAATTTGGCTAAATTTAAGGAACTAGCTCCATTCCCATTTTCAGCTTTGTTCCCTTTGAAGATCCTGGTCAGATCTGGGCTAATAATGAATGATTCTCCTTGGTCCCACTCTTCCTGCAGGTATCAGAGCCCTCACTTTATTCCCTGGGGGAGACCCTGGGCCAAAGCCCAACCAGGAATTTTCTCAGGCTTATCTCTATACGCAAAGGTTGGGAGAACTTCTTGGAAGAAGCTTCTTGGAAGAAGCTTGGGAAGTTGTGGGATTGGAGAAGGGAGATTTGGGAGAAGGTAAGGAAGTAGGAGAAAGAGGGAAGAGAGGCCACAAGGGCTGAGGAGAACCCTCGAGTCTGTTCAGAAGGTTACTGTGAGCCTGGCTGGGGGCTGAAAGAAGCCTTGGCCCCTAGCCTGGTGGGAGCTCCAGGCAGCTGGCCTACAGACGTTCCTTAGTGTTGGTGTGTAGGTTTGAATCATCACTCAGGCCCTTGCCTCCATCTGCCCCCACCGGGCCCCTGGCCTCAGTTCCCTGGCAACATCTGTGAGGAGGGGGGGCAACAAGAACAAGGGCCTCTGTCTACCCAGCTGCCTCTCCCTTTGGGTTCTGCCAGGCTCCACAGTGCATACGTGGGCTGCATCAGGTCCTCTCCTCCCCCTCCAACCTTCCCGCCACTGACTAACCCTGGAAAGACACATTCTCACTCTTGGCTCAACAAACTTGGCACCAGCTTCTTCCAGGGCATCTTGCCTGACACTTGTGGGAGGATCGTAGAGATGCTGGCCAGTTAGCCATAACTCACCATGAGGTCTGTTGCCCAGATAGTTTCCAGCTGGGCACATTGTCCTGGCGGGGCGAGGTTATGGTAACCCCAGTGCCCAGCACCACGCTCTCTGTGCATAGAGCCTTTCGAGGAATGTGACATAGGCATCAGGAATGGGGCGGTTAGAAGTACACTTGGATTTACCTTCTTCCCGAGACCCTGCCCATCAGGAGTAAGAGCTAGGGTGTTCAGATGGTTGTCACTAGGGGGCGCTCGGCCACCACAGGGAAGTGCTCGCCTCGAGCTGGGTGAACTTGGGAGAGAGCAGCGTTTGGGTGAGAGGGCGGGTGTGAGAGCAGTGAGTGTGTGTGTGTGTGTGTGTGTGTGTGTGTGTGTGTGTGTGTGTGTATGTATGTGTGCACGCGCGCGCGGGCTCTAGAGTCGGAGGAGTAGCAGTGATGATGAGCGTTAAAGAGGAGAAAAGCCTAAGGGTCACTCCAGTATTTCAATTTGATGTATCCCTCTCCCCATCGGTCCTTGTCGCTTCCCTCTTCAATGCTCCCAGATAAGAGAGAATGGGATCTCCTGACTGCGTAAAACCTCACTTTCTCGCTCCTGCCTCTCCTGAATACCCCAATGGGAGTCTATGTGTCTGGGCAGAGTTTGGAGGGCAGATGGGTAATTCTCCTGCTGGGAAGTCTGATGGGAGACGGCCCTTTGCTGTCAAAGGCGCGCAAGGTCTCGGGTGGCTTGCAGCCCCCGGGGGAAGGGCGAGCCGGGGCCGCGGGGTACCCGGTCCGGAGGGGCTGGCGGCGCGGGGCGAGGCCCGTGCTGTCTCCGCCCTCTGGGCCGGGCCGGGGCGGGCGCCCTGGAGGCGGGGCCAGGCTTTTTTAAGTCGGCTGCTAGCGGCGAGAAGCTCAGAGGGTTGGGGCCGCGGAGCTGCGAGGCGGCGGCGGCGCTCAGTCGGGAGACGCGGCTACGGACGGACCCGCGAGGTCACTGGACAGGGCCCTCTGAACTGGAATTTGATATTTATTTGTCCCGGGGTTTACCTCCCCTCTCTTTCCCCCCCCTTACACATTTAAAAAAGCCTTATTATTTCCCGTTTTAATTTATTTTTGCTTCCCATTCCTACTTCAATCGGGCCGACGGTTTAGGGGGATTGCTTCCTCGACTCCCCTAAATCAGTTAGGATTTTTGGAAACCGACAGAAAGAGGGAAGAGGTAGCAAGAACGCCGCACAGAAGTCGTGCAAGAGACAGAGACGGAGTCAAGAGCGCACGAGCAAGCCAGCCACGAGAGACAGGGGCAAAGTGAGTGACCTGCTTTTGGGGGTGACCGCCGGAGCGCGGCGTGAGCCCTCCTCCTCTGGATCCCGCATCAGACCAGCTGTGCTGACGGACAGACAGACACCGCCCCCTGCCCCAGCGCCCACCTCCTCTACGACCAGCGCCGGACGGTGGACGCGGCGGCGAGCCGCGGGCAGCAGACGGAGCTTGCACCCGGAGGCGGGGTGGAGGGGGTCGGGGCTCGTGGTGATGCACTGAAACTTTTCGACCAACTTCTGGGCTGTTCTCGCTTCGGAGGAGCCGTGGTCTACGCCGAAGAAGCCCAACCGAGCGAAGCCGGGAGAAGTCCTAGCTCGGGACGCGAGGAGACGCAGCCAGAGGAGGGGGAGGAGGAAGAAGAGAAGGAAGAGGTGGAGGAGAGGGGGCTGCGGAGGCTCGGCTCTTGGAAGCCGGGCTCATGGACGGGTGAGGCGGTGGTGTGCGCAGACAGTGCTCCAGCCGCGCGCGCTCCCCAGGCCCCGGCTCTGCGAGGCCCCGGGGCCTTGGATCTGGGAGGAGGAGAAGCCCGCCGAGGCGCGGAGGAGAGCGGGCCGCCCCGCAGCACGAGCCGGAGAGGGAGCGCAAGCCGCCCCGGCCCCAACCGGGCCTCCGAAACCATGAACTTTCTGCTCTCTTGGGTGCATTGGAGCCTAGCCTTGCTGCTCTACCTCCACCATGCCAAGGTAAGTGGCTGTGCCTGCCTGGCGCCGCCGGCCGCTGCGAGCGCCTCTCCCGACTGGGGACGTGCGAGCGCGCGCGTGGGGGGATCCGTGCCCCGCGCGGGTCCTTGGGCACCGGGCGCGCTGCATCCCCCTCTCTCGTCGTACGTGGAGGGGACGCGAGCTAGGTGGGAGGGCACCGGGAGAGACTCGCCGCCCACGCGGGCCCTGCCCACCCACCAGAGTCACCGCACGTACGATCTGGGCCGACCAGCGGAGGGCGGGAGCCGGAGGAGGAGGAGGCCGAGGGGGCTGGGCTTGTGCTGCCGCCGGCGGCTGAAGTTTGCTCCCAGCCGCTGGTCCCCGACGAACTGGAAGTCCGGGCAGCGGGGGCGGGAGCCGGAGCCCAGCGGGGAGGGGGTGCTCGGACCTTGGACTAAGGAGGGCAGAGAGCATGGAAGGGGGGGAGGGCGCAGGCGTGAGAGGGGGCCTGCTGCCACGGCCGCTCGGCCTCGTTGGCCCTCCCCGCGAGTTTGGGA